TCTTCTTCCTCCTCTAAATATATATATATAGTTTAGGATGAAGGGTGGTGGTTGTTCCCCCTATTGCTCTGCTAGGGTTTTGGCACAATGGCTCAACTTGTTGTGGAAAAGGGCTTAATCCTTACTACCTTTTGCTTTCAACTGGATTTCTCTCATCTCATCACTGGTCATTGCAAGTTCTTCGACTCTCATAGCTTTTACACCTTCCGGGTTCTGGTTTTTCAAACTTTTACTTTTCCATTGCTTTGGCCATAGTTTGTCTTTGTTTATCTTCTTTCTACTGTGAGGTTGGAACTTTGGCATCCCACTGGAAGTCTAGACTTCTCAGAATCCTCTATCTTTTTCTTATTCTATATTGCAAAAGGTTCTTCTATACTGTCTATTGCTTAGCCTCATTGTGGTTTCTGCCTTTGGTTGTTTGTTTGGAGCTTTCTTCCTGCTGTGAGGTTGAGTTCCTCTGGACTTTCACTGGCTGACGCCTGCTTTGGGTTACTCTATCTCTGATATACCCATTAAGTAATGTCTGACCCGATTCCTATTGACATTTCCACCAACATTCAATGGGCCAAAGCCAATTTTGCTGACATTGTAGGGAAAGGTCAGGAGCTAGTGCAGAATCCTGATGATTTGGTCTTTCCTCAAGATTATCATGAGGGTCATGACCGCCTTTTCAAACCCATATGCGAGAAAGGTGGGAAGTTGGCAATCTATTTTACAGAAGAGGACCTAAATGGGCTAACTGAATGTCAAAAATTCACCTTAATTGGTAAATTCCAACTTGACCATCCAAAGATGGAGTCTGTGAGAAGAAATTTTGATGGACTGAAATTCAAAGGGGCTTAGAAAGTAGGCCTCCTTGATGGCAGACACATACTTATTAATCTCTCAAGGGAGGAAGACTATGGTAGATCTTTCTCCAAACAATCCATATTGATTGAAGGAATTCCGATGAAGCTATTAAAGTGGACTCCTGAGTTTGATCCTAATAAAGAACTTCCAATTGTCCCGATATGGTTTACGTTACCTGGACTTAAACTACACTTTTTCAACCACAAAGTTCTTTTCAATATTGGCAAAGCTTTGGGAAGGCCTTTGAAATTGGATGGTCCCAATTTCAGCTTATCTAGACCTTCTGTAGCTAGAATCTTGGTGGAAAGAAATATTACTCTACCAGCTGTGGAGGAAATATGGTTAGGCACTGAGCATAATGGCTACTGGCAGAAAATCATAGTTGAACAAAGACCTTACTATTGCCATCATTGCAATTTTTTTTGCCACACTGATGAGAAATGCTTCAGGCTCCATCCTAACCTCAGAAGGAAGATCCCCAGACATCAATCTGAGGAGATTGCTCCACAGAACAAGGAGTTACCTACTGCTACTAATTGTGCTGTTAATATGCTTGAAGTGCCTGGGAAAAATGAATAAGAGCTGCCCCAAGCATTGGTACATGAGAGTGTGACACCCAATCCCCAATCTAATCATGAATCACCAACTGAGCACCTCCACCTTATGCCAAATTCTACTCATATTGAACAAACTCTCTGTACTGATCGTTCTACACTTCCTACTGATCAAGAGACAACAGTTATTGAGATACCAGAGGAGGACCCCTTGATTTTGCAATTAGCTAGGAACCTTGAAGCTGGTTGGCAAGTCCAAAAAACTAAAAAGAAGAAAATGCCTCTGGAATTAAAGAACCTAATCCCCT